TTACTGGACAGGTGTACCTAATAAAGTGGCCGGTGAGTGTATATATATGAGTGTCTGCCTCATTAATACTTTGAGATAATCCCAAATAAACTGTGGTGGTATATTATTGTACAGTGTGCCGTATGGATGTTGTGGTGTAATCTTATTTTTATTGATTTTAATTGTATTTATTTGCAATTGTTCTTGCTGTCTGCAAAGCAAATTATTATTATTATTATTATTAGAATTAGATGGTTTATCTAATTTAATCTCATTTTTCAAAATTCATTTTCAGTGCAGTTTTAATCATTTCAAATTGAACTTTTTTGTGTCACAGGGGTCAGTGTATCTTTTGGTCATTGGATTTTCCTTTTCAAAATGGGTATTAAAAACAAAAAACAATTGGATATTTGATTGTTTTAAAATACTGAAATTAAAATTAAAACACAAAGCGTCTCTCAATGTCAAAAAGGGATAAACAAAATTTTTGAAATGATTTGAGTTTCATTTTCTGTTTCAGACAGCTAAAGAGAAAATTACTTTAAGAAAAGGCTCGTTTGTTCATAATGCATGACAGGTCGTGCCAACTTACTGTTTCAGCACCAGAAGGGGTGCCTGCAATATCAAAGCTATTCAATGAACATCCCATTACAAGTAAAAAACATTGATGTTTGTGGTGGAAGGATTTATCAAGAATGCAGAAACACGTTGGAATAAACGCACAGAAAGTCAGCGTGTATGGTCGTCAAATGATTTAATCTGAGCAACAACAGAGCAGAAGTCAATCAGAGAAATCTGTCAAGTTGTGGCTGCCGCCTCAGTGCAGAGCAGCCGATAATATAACATCCTGTGACATGCTTACAACCAATCACCGTTCGCCAACTGTAAACCATCTAACCAATGACAGAGCTGTCAGCCCCGGAAGTACCTTATCAAAATAAAAGAGGTCATGCATTTCTGGAGACTTGAAGTCTAGGGCAACAGATTAAAACAGCTGAAACTAGTTTTCATGAGATATGAGTACTGGACAGCGTCAAGGTAAAACAGCTATACATAATTATTCCATAACAATGTTGACTTCCGTATCAAATATATTTGGTATCAGATCAATATCAAAGTTGTAGGATCGCCCACCCCTCGCTGAAAGGAACACTCCGAGGACGCAAACCGACAGAAAAAAAGCACAGATTTTGTCAAAACTCAGGAGGGAAAAAAACTTTCTGCTCACAGAACAACAAYTGTACAACACACTAATATAATGATTGTTGTCATATTTTGTTTTTTATTGAGAGAAATGGAGGTGAAGTGGAGGCAATAGCCRACGTGTATTCAGTAAAATAGATTTATTTGGTCAAAAGCCACATGAATTAGCTCTGCAGCCTTTGGTCGCAGAGCAACAATCATCATACAACTCATTTATGGACATATTTCTCTGTGTTTCAGCCTTTTATTTACAGAAATCAGTGTTTCATTTTGCAGAGCTGCCAGGCAAGCGCCCCCATCTGGTGGGGGAATAAATAGTCGTAGAATACAAACAAACGAGCCTTTTTTCGTTTCTGTCTTAAATTAAATTTTTTTTGCTATCCAAAGCAGAAAATGAAACTCAAATCATTTTTAAAATTTCATTTCTTCTTTT